CACTTGGGTCACCACCCTAAATAAAGCTTTCAGGATACATTGGACCCGGTCTATTAATTGCCACGCAGTGCTGAGCAACAACTAATGTCCATGTTTTCAGCTTTTCTCATACTGTCAGTCTAACTCAAGATTAGCCTATCATCACCATCTGTGCATTTGCATGGTGGGATGTATAGCAAGTATGTGTTGCATAAGGCTTCCTGAATAACAAGGCGAACTCTGGGGATGTTTTAGATAACATTATATGGTCTACTGCTTCACCGTGTGTTTGTTTTAATTTCTCACCCCCTAGAAAATAGATAGGCTTACATTTATATACGTGACAAACTGAGTTGATGTTTACTGATATTTAAAATGCAGTTAGAGAAAATATCCGTGAAATCTCTTGATGTGTTTCCTGGTGTTCCCAAGGGATGTTTTAAATTCACTCTGTAGATACTTGTGCAGTTTAACCCCATCTAATTAAATTCAATTTAATATTCCACATCACATGTGTTTCCCCTGCACTTTAACTGGGTTACAACTGTAATGACAAAAACAAACACACAGTCTACCATTTTGGCTTATATGACAGACTGAGCATGGCATGTGACTCTTTTAGAGTGATCAGCATGAATATTTTAGCATTTTTGAGTGACAACGCCTTCTGCCTTTTAATAACACAGAACGGAGCAACAATATAATATTACATTTTCCAGGTCTGAATATAAAAAAACAATACAAGTGTTGTAATAAGATGGTACCAGAAAGATAGAGCAGGTGTATTTATATTGATAATTAGAGTAGACTCGCTCTCTGGGTGCCAATCAGGAAGGGGTGCGTTCCCTAAGGGTGTGCTGCAGATGAGAACTCACAGGGAGACTCCTGGTGTGAGTCCAGGATTAAAACCTCCACACTCCAACCAATAACAAGGATAAAATAATTTTAAAAAACAGCAGCAGGAGGATTGCGTGATGTATGAAGGGCCAGAGGGTGGGCTCAGGCGGTCTGCCCCCAATCCCCACCCTATAGTGGAGAGGCCAGAGGATTGGGTGAGAGCATGGTGAGGACGGGACGAGCAGCCTCTCAGTGAGGCAGCCAGTATGCCAGTGTGTCCAGGAGGTCGTCTGGATATCCATTAAAAGGGGTCTGCTGGGACTCCAGAGCCCCAATCAATAGAAAGGATGGATCTGGGATAGTGCCCCCCCCCCCCTTCCTCTGCCTGGATGTGTGAGTCTGGTGTGGCCTGATGCTGTTGTACCACATAACCTTTGTGACCATGAACTAAACCGTCTGCGCGCTGTGAATGGACCACAGCAGGTCTGCTTTTCATTCACTGTCTATAGCTGTGGGCTACAATTGTCATTTGTACACTTATGTTTCTGTGTGCATGTGTGTGTGTGTGTAAGCTGCAGGATACATGTGAAACCCAGAGTGCTGAGGTCATGTTACTTGCACATCAAAAAAAACTCAATGATCTTGACCATCTGGTCGTCACACCAGTGCTGTTTCTCCTTTTCCCCTGATGAAAGGCTAACTGGCATCTTTGGGGACACGCTGTGGTTTACTGTGCCGCAGAGACACACACCATCCTCTTTGTCCAGGAGCCCGTGCAAATATCCCTTTCACCTATATGGACAGTATCTGTCTCTCACGAGGACAGGCTTAATAGGCTGTAAAGACACGTCTAAGAATCCCTAAAGGACATCCCTTTGACTTCCATGGCCAGATGTCCTTTTCAATACTTTTGTGGTGCCCCGCTGTCTCTTGAATGAGGCTTCTGCGAGCACAAAGGGACATGTTGGCTAAGCACCACGTGCTGATGCCATAGTGAGCGGGCTCTCAGGGATGATGTAAGACTGCATGCAAATGATACCACATCTTGTGCTTAAAAGCTGACGAGAGCCCTGAAGTTGATCAGCTGACCAGATAACACTAAATCCAGAGGCCACTTGTGTGTGGGGTTTTCCCTCCTCTATTGTTGTTCTTCTTTTATTTGGTTGCTCATTTATGTTTGTTTTTATTGGTTGTAAGCTTTTTCCACTGAGGCTAGGGCAGCAGCAACAGAAGTTCTTACAGACAGACTGCACATAATCATGATACAATAAAACAAAATACAAAACAAGCAAACAATAGTTTAATAAAACAGATGAAAAATCGGGGTTTTGAGAGGAAGTACAACTGAAATAAAAATAACCCATCACACGTAGAGTGTTTCTTTCTCCGGTTTTTCTTCCTGCAGGTTCACCCCCATGCAGGGACCCTGATGAAGAGGCCTTTTCATCACAAACTCGGTTCCATATTTGTCGTACGTCAGCAAGAATCTCTACACTAAGCTCTGCTTTCAATATCAGAAAAAGTGGAGTTCAAAGTGTATGTTAATCTCACAGATTTTAAACTTCTATTGGCTTCATTTTTACAATGCTTTACGATTTGCTCAGTGAGCAGTGTGACCCATGAGTACACTTACTCCTGTTTGTCTGTGTGAGTGAGACAGCTCAGAGGGCTGCCTTATCTCCATCTTTGGCTGTATGTCATAGGGCTACAACAGTTTTTTTTATTATTGATCCATCTACTGTATTAGTCTTTTTCATCAGCAAATTCAGCATTTAGCCTTTTGAAATAGTGAAAAATGCTGATTTCCAGAGCCCAACTTGACATGTGGATATTGCTTGTTTTTTCCCGATAAATGGTCCCTAAGATTTTCTATTTATAATGATATGATACAGAATCAAACAGCACAGCTTCACATTAGAGAAGCTAGAACCAGAGTTTGTTTGACAAATTTACAAAAAAACAAAATCCATTATGAAAATCACTGTTGATGCAATTTAATTTTGTGATTTTTTTTATTGTTTCAGTGTTTCCTTGGTTTAACAAACATCTCTGTAGCTTTGTTCCCCTGCAGTGAAATACTGACATGCATGAAGCTGTTGACACGCACACATTTACCTCACCCTCTAACAACAAACGCACACACACTCTCATACACACACACACACACACTGGGGTGTTGTGATTGGAAAGGCTGGTGTCATTTGGGAATATGAGTCAGGTAGTATGACTTCATTGCTTTTTACAGGGTATTAGGTCATCTCTCTCACTGTCTCTCCCCCCCCCCTCCTCCCCCCCTCCATCTCTCTAATCACATTGGTGCTGTACAGCCAGTGACACGCCTAGTGATGAGTAAGGCTCACCTCACCTCCTGCTTCCAGTACGCTGGTGATCTCACACACGTCACTGACAGCTTTGAACTCAAGAGTCGTGCTATGTTGTGGCTTTAATCTTTACATTCATTTTTTATTTGCAGACTATGGTTTCCGTTGATTTGGACATTGTTTTTACTTTACACAATGAAATATTGCATTTTTTTTATCTGCTAAAGGATTAAGTCACTGGGTCAGTATCACACTGTAAAGATACTGATTGGGTCACATTTGTATTATGTAAATGCTGTCAGTGAAGTCGGGTGGCTTGCTAGAAATAAACCCCCCAACAACTGATTGCACATGAAGCCACTTGAATTCACTTCTAAATTCAGTTGTGTTTATATCAGATAACATACCAAGTAGAGCTTTTAAAACCTTTTCAGACATGTATTATGCTTGATGGAAAGTCATTAAGTACCTTTACACAACTAGTACAATTTCATAAAACTCAGCCATACTTGAGTTTTGTATTTCACATCAAATATTCCACATGTGTTACCTCATAGATTTTTAAAAGGATACAGATTTGTACCAGAGCATCAGCAAATTATTTGTATCATTAGGTCGATCATGCAATAATTACAGGGTTACAGATGACAAACTGATACTTTCCTCAGGTGCAGATTTAGTACCAAAGTCAAGACAATCACAGCACATTCTCTTGCCTTGTTTTCTCTGAGATCTTCATACCTCCAAGTGACCTACAGTCCTGTTCCATCATTTATGAACATTATGAATGTAAACAAACCATTTACAGCTCAGTAACACGGGTCATGTAAAATGTTCATCTCTTACATAATGATAAGCATATCGGAAAAGAGCTCCGTAAATGATCTCCAGCAGCATACTCAAGTTTTTTATTTTTATTTGTGTTTATTTGTTTGTGTTTAGAAAGAGTTTAGGATCATGGGGAATTACATTGACTGCACTTTTCAACTGGCCCATCTGTGCAGCTCAATAGTGGCTGCCTTGAGGAATAGTTGTATGGTGCTTTCCTGGAAAGCCGGTTTAATTAGATTATCAATTTATGTGAAATCCAGCTCAGGTCACAATCATTGCCAAAGTGGAGTCCATGTGGATTGATAACAGGTTTCTGAATTGTGATGTACAATTTGATAAGATTTCTGTATAATTGAGATACTTAAAGGCCCATGTATTAAAAGAAAAAATGTACTCATTATGCAGAATGGCCCATTTGAGAATTATATAAATATATCAGCCTATATTACTGGATTATAATTAGCGATGCATTAATGTGTTCATTACTTTGACTTCAACATTTGAATGAATGAATACATTGCTGTGTTGCTTAACCTATGGTTAACCAGTAACTAAAGCTGTCACAGAAATGAAGGCCTACTGGAGTAAGAAGTGGACTTTTGGGATGTAGTGTAGTAGAAGTAAGACATTGCATAAAATGGTAATACCAAAGTTAAATGACAAGAACATTTATTTCTTTATATGTTTTTGTGTATTTATTTTCATTTTCTTTAATATTTGTTATTTATATATTAATTTGTTCGTGCTCTGATAATCCTGTCCAGTTGAGCGTGAGTAATGGCCGCCAGGTGGCGCCGGCAGGCTGCATTGTAATTAGCAGAAGATTGGCAGTCTAATCAGGTGTGTTGATTTGCAGGTGGTTGCTGGTTGCTGGCTGCCTGTTCGGCTCACAGGAGTTCACCCTCACCAATTTGTTCAAAGAAAAACCAGCCCAGAGGATGATATTATGATTAACTCGACTGACGACATTTTGAAAGGTCAATATAGACGTCGGAAAGGACGGGACGTGTTTCAAACCACCGAAGAAAAGCTTTTCCAAAAAGAGACGGTAAGATTCTTAAGTCAATATGTCACGGTGTAAATATCTCCAGAAGTTGCTTACATGTTTTGTTTTGAGACATTGGTTTTTAAAGGAGACGAGCAGACAGGGTGGTGAACTAACTCGTGAACTCAATGACCGATTTGCAGGCATAAGTTTCCATTCAGTGTGTCAGCCAGTGGGGGGCGCTTAGTATCCTCTGTGTGTGTGTGTGAAAGACTGCATGTGACCATCAGACAGCAGCATGGCCGACAGGGGGCGACAGAGAGAGAAACAGCTGCTGCATTATTCATGAGCAGAAACACTACAGGGACCGACAACCAGGGGGGAGACGTATTCATTTCCATTTCTTAAGTAAAAGTATTTATACACAGAGGTGGGAGGAGTACTCATATCTTGTATTACAGTAAACGTATGGTTACCAGAGTGTAAGAATACTCTGTTACAAGTAAAAAGCCCTTACTGTTACTCATGTAAAAGTACAAAAGGATTGGCATCAAACTATACTTACAAGTATACCAAAAGTAAAAGTACCCATTATGCAGATTTGCCCATTTCAGCTAAATATAAATGATATGTTTTGATTCTAATTATTGATGCAATAATACTGCATGCATACAATATATGCATTACACTGTTTACCTCTCAATTGTAGTTGGGTAGAAACAACAATTGAAATACTTGATTAAAGTACAAGTATGTTTTTGGATTGGTATTCTGTATAATTGTCTATGTTAGATTTAACTGCCCAGGTGTTTAATTTTGTGCTTAATTAAACCTCTTTAAGCTGTTTGGTAGTTTAATCGACAACAATGTATCTTGTTCTGTATTCCTATGAGAACCATTTGTTTTCTTCTGCAGAATAAAATATCCAACAGTTTATGAAGATGAGATTTGCACAAACCTAAATTTATATAATTAAAAAGTAATATTAAACCAAACACATCACATATAATATTAAAGCTCTTGATGGGAAACATTTTACTGTACTATTACTTTCCATTCTATAAATACAATACGGACTTGACTAATGCCCACAAGGAGTAAAGATCATGAAATAAAACAGTATTGAATTAATGGATCTTATTTTACCTATTTTATACAGTTGGGTGGTTGAATCATTTATGTGCTTTTTATAGTTTTAAAAAAACTTAATCTGAAAGTAAATCTAGCTGATGAATAAATACAGCAGATGTAAAAATACAGTATTTAATCTCAGAAATGCAGTAAGGTAGCAGTGAAGTAACATCAAAAACAACTATATCATTGTTGTACTAAAATGAATTAGTTTTGCCACTGATATGTTTATTTTGGCAAATTACAAATAGATAATATTGGACATACATGTTTGATAAAACAAAATATGTTGGTGGGAGCAGGTGTGGCTCCAGATGTGAGAGACACACACACACTTTAAAGCCACAGTAGTTGAGAATTGTTCCATATACAGTTTCCTAAATTTCTCCCAGGGACAGTCACTTCCTCGTGTTGGCGAATGAAGTAAACAGACACGTTTTGGATGGCTTACATCTGTTTAGACGCACCCAAGAAAAGAAGATCCCTCATTAAGATAACACAGTTGGTACTCAGCGGTTTTTTGTCCTCCTATCCCTGAACAATATGAAGAATTATACAAAATAATTTACATAAGACTAAAGGTTGGCGTGATCATGTTGTGAATAATTTGCATGGTAGGCAAAACAAAGACACACAAAGCAACACTTTTGTAATGTTATGCTGCATGGTATACATGTAGAAATGGACAGAATATGCAACTAATATTTAACTTTACTTTGAAAAGCAAACTTGATTTTGAAGTCTAACCAGCAGACTCTTGTGCGCTTGACATTGATATGCAAACTGTATTTTTTTAATGAATGATTAATGCACATTGTGTGAAGTACAAAGGTCTTTGAACAGCAGAGATAACAAAGTGAGAGACTGCTCTATAATTATAGCTGCTGCTGAGGTACAAAGCACACTGAAGGACAATCGACGTGTTTCTCTGTAACAGACTGGTCGATTGTCAAATGATACATTAACTGTTAAATTATATAAATTAGTAATCTTTCTTTAGCTGCGTTATCTGAAAACGAATCAAGATCGGAGATATCCTGTACATCTGTGCAGGAAAGGGAGATAATGGAGGAAAGCGAGCTGCTCCTTAGGTTTTAAACTGGAATGGGTGGACTGTTTATAGTAGCCTAATGCTTCTGAAGAAAATCTTAAGAGTTTCCTCCCACACCAAATATTCTCATACTCAAATCCTTCTTTGTCATTGCACATTTTGTCCCAGGTGAGCAGCCAGTCAGTGGCTCATAATGGAGAAATAAAACATTTACATTGCACAACAGGCACGCCCTGTTTTTTGCTGCCCTCTTGGAATGCTGCGAGGGCAGACAGAAAACGACGAGTGAAACAAGTCAGGAGGGAGCTGCCTGCTAACACATTGTTCAGTACTCGTCTCGTGTATGTAGTTGCATCAGTCTGTCATGCCTGCTCCTGTCTTCCCTCTTGATGAGTGAGTGGATCTGGGATTCATACTTCAAGTCTGGTGGCTAAAGACTTGAATGCATAGGTTCATAAAGCAGCATTCAAATACAACTATTAACTATTTCGTTCTATTTCAAAACCTTTTTGTCATGTCCTGTTTCAACCGATGAATGTAGGACAGCTTTATTAGCAGAGATCCAACTGTGAGAAATACATAACCGTAATTATGTATCATCTACAGCTAAATTGAATAGTCATTGAACAAAAAATACATTTGCAATTATTTAATAAACAGCTAGATTATTTGATGCTTTTCTCAGTTTAATTGTAAGCTGAATATGTATGGATGGGGACGTCTTGTTGGGTTCTGAGGAATTGTGTGTCTTTTTTTGTATAATCGGGAGATTTTAAAAATGATTATTAGCCTCCGTCAAAATCGTATAATATGGCTGTGAGCACATCCGCTCACTCCCAGGTTAAAAGGACAGAAGGAGAAGGAGGCAGGTGAATAATTATTGGTTTATTACAAAATAATCATACGCCACTCAAAATAGCGGTGCGGGGTTGTCCTGATCAGACCCGTTCTGTGGCCAGGAAATCCTCCCAGGAACCAGCCTACTGCAAGACAGACCAGAATCAGGTTACCAGCAGGCTTCTTATTGAGAGCATAATTACCTGATCCTGATCAGCTGTCTGGCCTCTGGCAGCCGGTGCCCTAACCACACCCCGCTGCCACAATGGCCTTTAGGGTTTGTTTGTTTTTGCTCTTTTAGCCCCAGAGTGAGCCGTTAAATTAGCACACTTACAAGTGGTAAGGCAACGCGTTCTTGTCTTCAAATTCGAATAAGCAGAGGGTTTAAAAATACAAAACATGAATTCATTATTGCAGTCTTGTTCAATCATCTGGGAAACATATAAATTGATGCCCCTTTCTTGTTTGCATCGCTAAGCATTTCTGTTTCATCATGATGGGATTTGTGATATGCAGATTTGATTATTATTGGTGCACACAGACGGCACAAGAAGAGCTCAGAATGTTTGGACAGTTGTAGAAAAGCTTTTTTTAAGAAAGATGCTCAAACTGCCAGCCGGGCATTCTTGTCTTTGTGTGATTGCCATGGAAACACAAAAACTTAAACTGGAAGGAAAAAGAAAGAGGGAGAGGCAGAGAGGCGGGGCCGTACAAGCGAGCTGTTTGTGTCGGGATGTGTGAGTCAGAGGCAGCTTCAGAGGCTGACTGCTCCTTTCCACTGGAAGGCCACACTGCAGCCCGCATACTCCCTGAGCCACTGGGCCTGCCCCATGCCCAAAAACAGAGATGCTGTCTTGCCCCTTGTTTACACACACACACACACACACACACACACACACACACACACACACACACACACACACACACACACTAACCTCCATGAGAAGATTCATACACACACAGAGAGAACACGTCTTTTCCCCCTGCATCAGAACTTGATTGGACCTGTGACTCCATTAACTCCACCCCGAGGAAATATCTATAAGACCAGAATCAACTTGGTTTGAGTGTCAGACCTTTAGACATTCAAGATGACTTGTGGGAATTATTCTTTCACTCACTGGGAATATGACACAACATATTTGAGGAACTTTTCCTCCCTGGATTCAGTGGACGAGATTGCAGAGAGGTTATTTTTCTGCCATGGATAAAAAAAACACAACGCTGCTATAAGGTGATGAAGGATTTCCATGCACTTTGGACTTGTTTTATTACTTTGCGATGTAAGTTTGTGTTTGCCAAGGTCACCTCTGCTGCTTACAGTATTATTTTTTCTGATAAAACTGAAACTGAATTTCTTCCTCCACGTATTAGCGTTCGAGCCGGCTGCCAAAGCTGTTTTTAAGCCAAATTGTGCAAAAAATGTGTTCTCCATAGCAGCAGGGTGAGATCGGCACATTCACACACTTTTACCCACCTGGGAGCTGTTCAGTATCATCCCTGTCGCTGCGATTTATTGACAGACCACTTGCAGCAGGCGCTGAGGTCAGTGTGTCTGCGAGGGCTCTGCCTGAGTGAAATGAGAAAGGGAAAGATAGGGCCAGTGCAGGGAGAGATTAAACTCAGCAGCTGCTTTGTGTGTGTGTGCACACCATAAGCACACACACACGCTCTGTCTCGTCTGACTCCTCCTTGCTCTATTGTGCTCCCTCCCCTCTCTCCCTCTCCGGCAGTAGGTACATGTGCAGTGAGCGACAGCTAGGAGAACAGTTCAGGGCACGAGCCAAAGGCGCACACACCCACTAGCAGAGAGCAGGACTGCATTATTCTACGGATCCTCTTCTCTACGCACCTCTGGGGTATGGCACACACACTCACACCAGCTCACACACACTCAAACCAGCAGATAAACTTCTAGAAAGATCCTGTTCTCTCACTTTTAGTCCCTTCAGCAGGCTGAAGTCTAGAGGTTTCCACACAGCAGAGTTAAGGTTAAGAAGTTTTAATCAGATAGTGTCCCTGTGAGACTTTTAGTTTGTTTCAAAGTTAAATAGTGTTGGTGTGTGTTTATAATAATATAGTTGTTGTTTACCTTAAATCAGCTTGAAGTAAGTTTAGTTAGTGTGGAATAGCTTTGTAACTTTAAAAAGTTGTAGCTCATTTTACTGCTATTATAGAAGAGGGGAACATCAGACAGCACCTGTTAACAGTTGCCACATTTTTGGAGCGTGAGTGGATGCTTCATTTATTCAAATGTAGTCCAGAGAGTACTTACGAGTGTATGGGTTGGCGCCTGTGGGCGTGTGCACGCGTCATTCATGTGTGCGCCATTCCACCCACATGGCTGTGAATGTCCTTGTGCGCACTTTAAGTAATGGCCGGTGGATAGATGGATGGCAAAATACACCCACTGCTAAAGCAATTTGAAGTAGGTGTTCACGCTGTTAAGTGAAAAAGTGCTGTTGGTTGTGAGTGGTTAGCTGCTGAGAAATAAGATGGAGTTTGAAAGTCACACCTGTTGAGCCACAGAGGCTTAAACATACTTAAACATGTATTAATATTGTTGAAGTCCTTATCCCTAATTGCAGGGCTTTTCTGATTTGTATGAACCTTGCATACAGACCTTTTTCAATTCAGTAATTCAGAGTTAAAGTGTTCTTACAGTTGCCATGTTGGAAGCATAGTTTATTAAAGGTTTCATTAAAGGATCATTTTACATTTTCCCCATTCTTTTTCAAAAATAACCCCACGTGTTTTAATTCATTCTTCTTCTGTAAGTGAAATCTGAAGCAGATGTAAGTCCTTATCGGGACATCTTGTAGCATTTGTTGATAGTATGAGTCAACACTTTGTTATTTTGATGGGTGCTGGTAGTTGTGGGCGATAATATCACTGGATAATGCTGTGAAAGTAATTAAAAGCTTATTTTTATGTGTTATTACCCAAAAAGTCTGTGGAGAGCAGAAAAGGAGGGCCATGTTTTCATTTATTAAGCATTCCTGGCTACGGATGCATATTGTAAGAGTAATTAAAAGAGTTTTATTTGCCTTGTGAGTGAGCCGAAGCTACAAGTTGATGTTCGTGGGAAATGTATGTTTACTCAGGAGCTGCATAAAGTTGCATAACTGCTCCTACTACAATTGAATGGAACTGGAGAGAACATGAGGCATATGTTATGACAATGTGTTACTCTTTGCAGTGGAAATAACAGTCACATAAGGCACGTTATCAGGAGCACTAAAAGCAGGAAAACCTCAGCTCCTGCGTCTGTGAGATAAAAGGGTTTTTTGTATCCAAAAAATCTGAAGTGTTAGAAAACAAGAACCAAGGAAAACAAATCGCATCTGTGTGAACAAGCTCTGCCTTTGCAAATGACTTTTAACCCACCACACTTGAAGGGTTGGTATTCAATGACGTTTATAGATGTGGAAAAATGATGCTGGAATAGAAAATCATGCATATCTGTGAGTAGAGCCAGCAGGGAGGCAGGCTGCCCAGAAAGGATCAGGGCTACGCAAACTGGAACATTTCTTCACCATAAACTCCTTTTAAAGTTTAATGTGTGATTCAACGCAGGATTTGTGTGCAATGCGTTCCTAGTGAAGGTAGCTCAGATAGTTTTTCATTAACTCTTCTTCCTCTCCCCTTCCTCCCCCACAGCCAGTGACTCACACCTCTGCACCTCTTGTTGAGCCATTATCACCATGGAAACCCCAAGCCAGAAACGCACCAGCCGGGGTGCCTCCTCCCCGACCCGCATCACCAGGCTGCAGGAGAAGGAGGACATGATCAACCTCAATGACCGGCTGGCCGTCTACATCGACAAGGTGCGCTCGCTGGAGTCGGAGAACGCCGGTCTGCGAATGCGCATCACCGAGTCGGATTCCTGTGTGACCCGCGAGGTGTCGGGCATCAAGGGGGCCTACGAGGCGGAGCTGGCCGACGCCCGCAAGACCCTGGACCAGGTTGCCAAGGAGCGAGCACGCATGCAGCTGGAGCTCAGCAAGATCAGGGAGGAGCACAAGGACCTCAAAGCCAGGTAGGAGGAGCATCTGGGGGCGGGGCTTAAAAGGGAGTGGCTTTGTTACAAGAGTTATGTCACAAAGTGGTTGTGGCCACAGTTATCATGTTTATTGTAAAATATCATATATTATAGGCAAACGGCACACATACGATGTTGTTTTCTAAAAAAGTTATAATAATACGTTCATTCAGTTGTACTTCAAAGTCAGCAGAACCACCCAACACTCTTCTGAGTTGTGTTGCAGTATTTATATAACATTTAATTGCTGTTTGGTTTCATTGCGGGGGAATTCCCTGCCTTTTTGGAAACTGATCAAGTAACCTGGTCTTGTTCCCGTCTCACTGATGCATGAGAAGAATATAGTTTTCACATTATAGGCAGGTACGTTTACTTGAAGATGCAGATACAGGCACAATAGGAAGATAATAACATAATTTGTGGTATAATTGTTTTTACGGTATTGCATACTGTTCCTACATGCTCTGGCCCATCAGTCGGTGTAGTTTTCTTCTTGCATTTGAGTTCCTTTGTTTAGAATAAGCATTATTCTTAATGTCCCAGAGCCATCAACATTTCAGCATAGAGTTTTCTGATGTGTCCAAAAGATGTCATCGTAGTGGTTACTGCAGTCACAGTGATTGAAAATGTGGTTCTGAATGTTGTAATTTTACCTTTTTGTGCTGTTACGCCCTGTTGTTACAAACTGAGGTGGTGCAACACCCACATTTTCTAGCAGGAATGCAGTGAAGAGTGCGCAGCCAAACATAACGTTAGCATCTTAGAATACATTCCAGGTTGATTACTTGGTATGACTTGTCAGTTGTGTTGCATTTAGGGCCGGTGGATGTTAAAATGACACACCTCCAGCTAAACGGGCTACACCTTTAACACACAACCTGTGAAGGTACAATTACTGCCCTAATGACAGAATGTCTTTCATTACAGTGTGTGAGACAACTGGGCTGCAAAAGCTCTACAGTTTGTGATAACGTTTCACAATATTAGCACTATGGACAGAAGCTAAGAATGAACATCTGTTGTACTTTGAATGGACTTATATTGTTAACACGATGCCAGGTGTTCACAGTTCGCAGTGGATCCAGAAACGTGTGGACTAGTGACATATTTGAAAATAGAAACTTGGAACGCAGACTCTGTCAAGACCATAAGTCAAAAATAATTTGTGAAGCCGCCCCACGATTTGGATCTGCTCCAAAATGATTTGGTTATCTTCTTTGGCCCATGCTACTCCCTTCCACCAAGAAAATTGAGTTTTCTTCTCGGAATCCTGCTGACAAACAGATATAGAAATTGAAGCCTCCCTGGCAGTGGTAAGAATAAGAATAATAACCAAACAATTTTAGTGCCACAGAAGTCTTAAGGTAACCTCCATGCTTTGAGTTAATATCTTTCTAAGAAAATGTCACATGCAAGTCACATAAAAGTGAACTGGCACTTGTGTGGCAGGTAACAAATTATTTACTTCTGGTGTTGTAGCATTAAGAGCATGCAATTATATCATTCCTACTTTCACTTCTTCTGTACCTCACCTCTGGCCTGAGGTGTTAGCAGCAGGTTTGTTGTCTGTGTTTTCCCCCGCTTTGATTCAGCTACTTGGGTGAATATCTGCAGATCAGACTGCTGCCGTAGGCCTCAGGCAATAGAGGCTGTTAAAGAATGTGTCACAGTCTTGGCAAAGTGTAAGAGGACTAAAAGTACAAGATAGAAAGTATTACCACTCCTACAAAGAGATTCAACACATGCCTTTTTAAAAAGAAAAAAGACATTTCAACAAGGCATATTTTCAGTGTTTTATCTACAGGGAGTGATTGGCCCAATTAGTGCCATTGTGTTCTCCTCACTGAGGTGACATTATTATTGAAAGTAACCTGTGAAGCATGTCCTTGGTAATGTACACAAAACTCAATGGGTGTGGCTCAGTGCTACGTGTTGAATGAGGAAAACAAATGCAAAAGATCAGCAGGAAATGTGATGATGCTCCTTTGTGCCATGGACGATTACTGTACCTTCATTGTTGTGTCCCTGTCCCAAGTTCCTCAATCTGTGGTGTGTGTACATTTGCACAAACTGGATGATGATGTGCACTCTCAATAAAAGGCTGTGTGTGTGTGTATACTGAGTGTTGAGAGAGCAGTATTATTACATTTTCTATTCACTTCCCAAATGTCAATGTGATTCTCCAGCGACTTGGAAAGAGAAGCACAGACAACTTCTGCTGCATTATTGTTTCTAGTGGAAGGAAATCGTTTGACGCATGTGTGGTGGAAAGGGATCACTCAATCCAGCCTGTGCCGGCTTTATCTGTTATACAGTTTGTTTAGTGTTTGGTTGCCATAGCACTCTGGAAGTCTTGGCTTGGTCGTGTGACTGTGGTGACTCAGAGGGTTTTTTCATGGCCTCTGGAATGGGCTGACTGTAGACTCACTGTAACGGGAAGTGAGGTTTATAAATACCCACTGTCTGAGGGGCTGCTTTGACCGGCTGCTGAGATTCAGGTGGAGACAGCAGCAGAAGGCAGCACAACAAACACTCACAATATGTTGACTTTTTGTTGGTGTGCTTGGTTATTGCTCTCATGTTTGACAGAAAATCAGCAACAGGTGTGGCCGGCACTGCAGTTCAGTTGACTGGACACACCTGTTTAGCCCAAAGGCATGACTCCGCTACTCCACACACACTTCCTTGTATGCAGAACTTCTACCGGGGAACACATGCTGTCCTCCCCTGAGGCATAACCCCAAGCTGTTGGGCCAGAATGCCAAACAATCTCACAAAAGCTTTCCATGGCTTGTAAAAAAATTCAACACTGTAGATAGAAAATACACATAACTTGGTAAAAGCAGGTGTGGAAGGAATGCTGTGCTGTAAAAGAAGTCTGAAGCTTGGAGCCAGGTAAACGAAAAACCAAATGATATGTGAGCAAAACACTTAACATGAGTTCTGAACCACAGCATGAGTTACAGAACTATGTTCACAGGTTTGTCAAGACCTTGTTAACTCCGCTTTCCTTTTACTACTTAAATATTGCTTCCGGCTGTCGTCTCGTACCCAGGCTAACCTCCAGCTGTGCTGCTGGCTGTGAAACAGGAGCCTGGAGGGTGAACTGGCTCCTCGGTGTCACTGGCAGGACTCGTTCTCTGTTAGCGCTCCACCCAGGCATGATGAGCACATCGTTAACTACACATGGAGAGTTCATGTCACTCTGCTTTTTTTGTTATATTTGACAAAAGATGTATGTGAACTATAGTTAGACAAGTAGTTTGAAAACTATTTCGACAATCAATGAAACCACTTTTTTAATAGAAAATGCCAAATGTTTACTTCTTCCGGTTTCTTGAAAATAAACATTTGCTGATTATTTTAGTGCTTTTTGATATTTAACCAAAAATCTATGTGTCAAGCCATTTGAACAATTCACCTGGGAAAACAATGGCACTACATTTTTATATATTCTAACATTTATTCAAGAATTTAAACAGAAAATAATCATTAGCTGCAGTGCTGGTAACTAAATGAATGGTAGGTACATATTAATAATATTCTGCTACACGCTGTCTCAAATCAAAAGCGACCGCCTATTTTCTTAGTAAGTTATTAAACTTTGAACTGCTCCTTTGAGTCGAAGTCTCTCTGATAAGGATCATACTCAACTGTAGGGATTAAGAGTAAACCGCCAAACCCTTTTCTGCATCAGATACACTTTGAATAAGAGAAGGGATTTACCTTTAGTCTGCCCCACCCGTCTGCACAGTGTGGTTCAGGGTGTGGCTGCAGGTACATGCAGCTCTCAGACATTTGTTGCAGCGCTTCATTTAAAAAAAACAAAACAATGTTTTTTTTTAAAAACTGTTTGAATAGATGCTGTGGTAGACACAATGTTTTTCTAACGTGTCCAGACGCGGCTAACACACGGGTCTTATAGCTACACTGTACATCTTCTTATTCTGTATTCAAAGAGACTATCAGAGAACATAGCAGGAAGTGCACTTATCTCACCGCACACTCCCATTTCCTTTCTTTGGAATATTTGCTTTCTATAGCATATGACCTACAGTATATGTCGTTGCTCACCATCCCACACGATTGTCTTTAAGTGTTTATTATCCAATAAACTACATTTCCTCTTAAAGGCGTATTTAGATGTAAAGCTTTATTCTGAGATTGTATTTATTACTATATATCTCATGACTTAATTTGCCTTGTGCAATACCTATTTTTGTTTTCATCGCAGAGCTACACCGTATGCACTGACATTTATATCACAAAAGAAACCAATCTCACACACTCAGCAACCAAAGAATGTGATAAACAAAAGCTTTTTAATAATTAGCCAACCTTTGTCTGGTGAGGAAGAAGGGGAAGTAAAATGAAGGAAGTGGTGGCAGAGATAGACGTAATAAGAAGTGGTCTTATGTTGAGATTAGCCGAGTAAGGTTTCTGTATTTAACTTGGGGAAACTTTAAATACGTTGCTAGGTGACACATTGTACATCTGTACTGGTATAGGGCCATGTTGAGGATAACAGCAGGAGCCATTCAAGCTGCTCCTGTCAGGTTTGTTGAGATAAAATGTTTGCCTTCAAAGGCTTTTCCTAAAATGGACAAGAGCAAGCCTGCACTGAACTTCTGACCGTGCTGTCAAGGCTTTTAAATGCCTCGTCTGTTTCTTTCAAGAGTCTGGTGGCAACAGATTCTGCATAATTCTTTCTCTTATTTCTTATTCAATTTGGACAGTACATCTGACGGCATTTGAAGCTGTCAAAGTACTTGAGAATCTCAGGCTCTGTATTACAAAACAATCTTGAGCATCCAGAAACTAGAGCTTTGTCTAACCATTACTCTATGAATAATCGCTTGGTGTCTAAAATGTTAGGGAATAGTGAAACATTTGTACCATTTTTTTAACTCCAACATGACGTCTTCAGATTTTCTTGTTTTGTCCAACAGTCCAAAACCTTAAGAGATATAATTTACTATCACAAAAAGGCAGCACGA